TATGCCAAACCCAATGCTAAAGCCAGCTGTTATGGGCCTACCAGACCTATCCCCACAGAATTAAACACTTTGCTACTGTTTAATGCTGCGTGATTGGGGAAGGTTGGGGTTAAAAAAGCCTCATCAGCCAAATGAAGCAATTTTTACCCTTGAACAGTCCTTTTTAATAACACTGTCGTTTTTCACAACTGCACCATCTGACTCCACAGTCTGTCACAGTAATGGTAAATAATGGCATTGACATGCTATAATATTGCTGTGTTCTGAAGCTACAATGCAGCTTTGCTGCCAGCAAACAACCTCATGTGGTGCATAGTAATACCAAGTTCCTTGCCATTAAGTAAGCAGCAAGGGGTCACAGGGTGCATATATTTTCACCGTGAGTGCAGCAAACCACGTATGGGACCCAATCCAACCAACTGAGTTACACTTCACCAGAGCCGCTATTGCATGACAGGCTTTTGAACAAATTCTGTACAGTGAAAATCCCACAAATTGTCAATGTATGCTAAATCAAGTGACATTTTGAAAAATTTACACATTTTTAAACCAATCAAGTCAACAGTGTCTTTAAGATTCATTCTGTGGGATCTCGACAAACGTAGTGTATAGTTATCATGAGTTATGCGGCATCCAACAGGATTTATGTTAACAGTGAATGCATAGAACGTTCTATTGCCATGCCTAAGTCTGCAGAAGATGCCTCTAACCTCTTCATACTGAAAGCGTCTCTTGCTGACAATAACGTCTTCAATGCCAGCCCTATCTCCATACTTCTTCTCGTGAATAGTGTAGGATTTGAAGAGCTCCTCGGCATGCTGTTTGGGAATCTTGTCCAAAGCATACTTGTAGATAACCCTGGCCCTCTCATGCTGCACCAGAGAAAACTATTCATTATTAGTCAAGCTAAAACTGAATCAATTATTACAGTCGGAAGACCTTTGGCTGTTCAGTTTGAATGCGCACTGCAAGTCAAATTTCAACGATAATAACTTGAATAATCGGAATCAATAATCAACCAAGCTATCTGGGGCATGTGCGCATTTTCATACTTGAATACTCTTCAGGACGGCCAACTTTGCTAACTGCAAAGATGCCATATTTAGCAAGAATTACTGAAGCAAGAATGTCTGACTGTAATTATCCACTTGCTGCCAGGTGGAATTTGAAGTTGCATGATGTAAAACCGGGAGATTTTCAAGATTTTCCGGTTTCAAAATTCTTCAGCGAATTCATAAGTTAATTTACTGGATGTTTACACCCACATGATTGACTGTCTGGTGGCTACTCTAATCTAACAGACAAGATCTATTGACGCCTGAGTATTTCAGCAAGGCCTGCCACCTTGTAAAAGGAGCCCAGATTGTGCGGTGTTATGTAACTTTCTTTTGTTCCCAATACTGGCCCAGTGCGCTACTGGCATCTTTTCAATAGGGGCCAGATTAGCATGCAGCAGTATCGCATCGCTCATCGCTGGAGTGCTTTTGTCCCCCGGTGGTAATCCGCTCGCGCTGAATGCCACAAACAGTGGTATAATCTCTAAAAATAATGACAGATTTCCTCCACTGTTGACAACTGAAAAAATGTTGGCAATTCCCAGCAGGTCAGTCTTTTATTCCGAGTACAGTCTTCTATTACAAGGCCCAGCCCTTTTGTCCGGTTTCGGGCTCCCCGGTTTTGTGTATAAAGCCTATGTGCCTGAAACCGGGCTCCCCAGCAACATATGGATAATTCTCAACTCTTCAGACAAAATGGAGGACCACAATTTACATCACACATTCCTAAACTTGAGGCATGTGTACATTCTCACACGAGCAGAGCTCCATCTCAGTAATATCTCTTAACTGTGGTTGCTGGATTAGTTAGTGAATGTCATGGCAACCAGCAGCTGTTAAATGCACTTCTTTTTTTTTGAAACTTTGAATAGGTTACACTCAAGTAGGTATCCAGTGAAAACCATCTATGATTGAAAAGGTGGATCAAGCTTGTATGCTAGAAAATGGCAACTTGTGAACTGAAAACACAATCCTGCACATGGGGGTCATACTGTACCCCTTAAGAGGGGCAGCCATCTTGGAGGTTAGTAATTTAAGAAATTAGGGGTCCATTTTTGTTCGAGTCCCTGTCACATCTGACATATGATTTTGTAATTTCAGAAAACGTTTTTTAATTTCAAAGAGAGAGGAATTAATGCAAATTACCTACCAAACAAATACTAACAGGTTGAAACCAATTCCGGTGATATTTCCATGTCAAATAACAAAGGTCAGATGTAACAGGGACAGAAAAAATGTCACACTGGGAATTACCCAGGTAGCCCCATGCTTTTGCCCCATGGGAATATATACAGGCAGGCCTTTACAGCATTCCTTGTTGACTGAAGTAAACACCAGAAACAACATTCAAGGATCTGCATACTTATATCAGCAGCTGACATCTTTGTCTTAGCTCCAGAACATAAGATGGACAAACTTTATAAAAAAGAACCCAACCTCTTTCTGTCTTTCCTCAAATTTTGCGAATGCCACGTAGAGCTTCTCCTCCATGTGCTCCTCTCCAAAGAACTCCACCGCTCGCTCGTACACCTTGCGAGCGCTGGAGACATAGTTGTTGTGTTCCTCAAAGCTGGCATAGCGGGTCCAGTTCTTAATCTCAGGATGACAGATGACAAGTGAGGACAGTCAAGGAAATCGAGCAAAGCGGGACTTTTCTTCGAAAACTTGATTGGCCTAATTGTCTCAAATTGTCTCTTCAGTACAGTGTAGTTTCTAGCATTTGTCCTCCATAATTTACCCTAGGGACAAAGATAGTGCATAAACATTTGACACAAATTTCCATTTAAGACATTTTTGGAGTACCTTTTTGAGTTTGAATCGATCAATTAAAAAAAGCACCTCACAGGGGCGAGGAGAATTTTGTAATGCTATTCCAAAGGATATATCTCTCGTAGATGTTGCGGGCCCTTTCTACTTCCTTGTACCTCAGCTCCATTTTGATGTAAGACAGCCACGCCTGCTCTTCGGGTTCCCACTGCATCCAGCGCTCAAAGACTTGCCGGGCACCAGCCACGTTGCCTAGCATCTCCTCCATGTAGGTGTACTTATACCAGAACTGCTTGGCCCGGGGCAGGATGGTGACCGCCCGGTCCCAGATGTTGCGGGCGTGGTTGATCTGCTTGTGCCTGAAGGTGTTGAGGTGGAGTTGGATGGGGGTATGAGTGGGGTTGGAGGATAGGGGAAGGGAGTGAGTTGTGACACGGTGAGCCTGAGCCATCAAGTGTTGGCCTAAATAATAACGGACACTGTGGGCTGGTATGCTAATCAAGTGGCCTGCATTAGAAGCCATTACTACAGTGGTACCATGTTTAAATCGACGGTTGGAATAATGCAACTTACTTCATTTCCATTTCAGCATACTTGAGCCACAGCGTTATGTTTCTGTGGTCAACGTCCAATGCTCTCTCATACACTGACCGTGCCCTGAGAAAAAACAAAGGAAAAGGTCACGAGTGAGTGTAGGTGTTTGGAGTGAATCAGATATAACTGTGAACTGTTGTAACAGATTTCAGCAAGAGAAAAGTGATGAAAAAAATGTGTCTTTAAGTCACAGCAAATAAATATTTTCACTGAAAAAAAAACCCATTCATTCTTTGTACTTCAACTTCCAAGGGGCATTGAGCCCCCTGGGGGCTAGGTGGAGTCTTCATTAATCTTCCAAAATCCTTCAAAATCTCCTGGTGGATTTTGGAAGACTTGGGAGGCTTACGGTCAGTATTATTTCACATAGACAGTAACTGAGGGTATCACTCCATCTATGACAGGATTGCTTCTGAGTAAAACATTTCAACATTCATTTCCTGCCTTCTTAACGGCAGCATGATAACAGGTAAATGTTGGGGTGACATTTTCCTACCATCACTTTCCTTACCATCACAATTTCTTTCCAAGTCCAGTCAAAGGTACCACAATGAACAATGACAAGGGAATGCTTTTTTTCACGGTTTCACTTGAATGGCCCGAACCTTGGCTTCAGACTGGATGACTTGCAATGGACTTACAGGAATTTGTGCTGAACTCCATCACAGTCCAACTGTCAATTTCTTTCAGGAAACTGTACAAACTTTAATTGATCAATAAATATGAGTAAAGTGACTCGGCCAGACTTTTTTCTTTCCTTTCCCACCTGTCAATCTCTTGCTGACTTTCCTCCCAGCCTGCATACTTGATCCAGTTGGTGATGCTGGAGCGATTCTTGCGGATGTTGTCCTCAAACTCTTTCCTCTTCCTCAGTCGGTACTCTTGCAGTTCCTCTGGGTCAGTGATCTTTTGCTTTGGGGGCTTTGTGTATTTTGGGGGAGGGCGTTGAGGGAAGGGACGAACAAAAGGAAGTCTCAGTATTTCTGATTAAGGTAAAAGCCTACAGGAATTTCATATCGAACCAACAAAGCACTACTATCAGTCTTCTTGGCAAAAAGTAATAATTTCCTTTAATCTAAACCCCAAGTTAAGACTAACAAAACTTTTAGAAGTTCCATCAATAAACTCAAAATCTTCACCAAGGAAAATGGGTAAAGGCAACCATTATGTCATGCAAGACACATCCACCTGAGCCTTCACATGTTCCCAGCATTAGAAATCAGCACAGCGTCTCTAGTATGGACCACAGAGCTGCATTCTGTTTGCGATGGATTTTAATGTTATCTTCAGGTCTTTCAAGTATCTTAACTTACCGGAGGGACCAGTTCTAGTTCCCTCTCCTTGGCCTCTCGTAAAATCTGCTCTGCTGTGATCTGAACCTCTGCTGGCATACGGTTCTTGACCTGGATAAGGACAAAAGTAGCAAGACTCCAAAACAATTATGTTGGATGCAATCAGTCAATCAGTATGATCATGTGACCGCATTACACTATCAGTCACTCTAGTATGAAATTTCTAACTTTACTTCCCTCTTTTAATCAATAATCCACAACCACAAGTAAGAGAGAAAATGTGACTGGCTGATGTAGTATTATTGGAAATTCTGACAGACTGTGCAACAATCAAGCGATCAACGCAGATCAACCAAAACCCTCACAAAACGATTCCACTATTTCGGATATTTCTGTACATTTTTTGCACCTTCTCATACATGTAGTAATGATAGAAAGAGTTCCATCTACGGACAACACTCAATGCCCCTGTGTACAAACCTATGAGTTTTGTCTGACAAAACTTAAACGTTTTCGAAGTAAACGCTTTGGTTTTTTCCAAAGATCATATAGCACCACGAAGCGGCGCAAGATGGCAAACTTCACCGTGAACACACATAAAACGTTGTAATCGCGTGGGCGCCATTTGAGCAAGCGATACGCATGCGCAATGCACATTAATGCACAGGTGCAGGTGCCGTAGCAGGCATGTGCACCTGGTGAGCCTGCGCCCAAGCATTACTGTAAACTGCGCAGGCATATCGCTTGCTCAAATGGGGCCCATGATAATTACACCTTTTGGGCAGAGTTATCCATCTTGCACCTTCGACGCTGTACGATCTTTGGTCTTTTCTTAGCTAAATTTCACTTTTTAGGACATGTTATCACTTTCTGATGGCTGCTATAATATCTTACGAGAAAAATTGGTGTTTGTCTGTATAAAGAACTCTTTCCCTACTAATAATTAGTCCTAAACATGTTGACTTACTAAGATAACTAGGCCTAGGCTTAACAATAAAGGCTCTGCTACGGAAAAACTAATGTTAGGCCATGTGAATGAAAGTTTCAGATTTGCGTCTGGAACATTTGGGAAAAGCATGAGGCTTTTTTCATTATTCATTAATTATTTTTAGCAAGATGGTGTGCATAGTGGCCATGCGTGGTGCATACCCAGAGAAGTGCATAATGTGCATGTAGAATTTAATCGTTTGTATCGTAGGTAGGTGTGCGTAGATACCTAGCCCCATGTGCGTTTTACACCCTTTCACTGCTGCTTTATGATTTGGGATTTGAAAAAACTTAATTCTCATGGTCTTAGTCACTCGAAAACCACACTTCCTTAAACTATTTTTAAAAAAAGGGCTATTGGCATGTGCCAGTGCAACCGACCAATACACCAATTTTCCGTTCCATCTCTATGTTGAATTAAGTGCCCCCGGCCGTGCAAGTAAGTGTTTCCCTCTAGAGCTAGAGCAACAAATTGTCAGCAACAATTCATTTATTCATTT